TTCATGACTTTAAAGTAAAAGAGCTCACATATTCTATACTGCCACTGTTTGCAGATTGTTGCTAATACGGATCTAGTATACAGAATGATCTTGTTTGTGCTGCTGTGAAGACTTACATGCGGCAGATCTCCGTCCGAGTCCAAGTAGCTTTCTCCACAAAGTGAGGCAGCACGGTGAGCATGTCTTTATTTGAGGATTTTATGACCAGAAGCATCTTCTCTCAGTCAAACTGCCCCACTCCCCCTCCCTCTTATTAACATCTACCTCTGCACAGCGTGTTTGGGTTGAACCTGCCTGTCCTTCCTCTCTTCCCCTTTCAGCTTTCTTTCCATCCCAAACCCTGAAACCTCCGGATCTGTGCCGCCGGGTTCCGTTCAGATTTGGCTCCCCAGTCTCCTCTTTCACAGTTCGTGATTCAGCAATCGGCTCTCCGTATGCAACGCCCGGCCACAATACCATCATTCATTCCAGGGAGGGGAGGGCGCACGGGGGTGGGGGGGGGTTGTTACTTGGCGTCAGTCTCAAGTTTGACATGCAGAATTCTAAATTAAGACTACACGCTGATGAATCTGCGAACCGCGGAGAAGCTCAAAGCATGATACGACCGTTTCAACTCTGACAAACCCACACACACGAGCACAAAGGCAGTCTGTGCCAAAGCTTTGCTGACACAAGTCATGATTTTTGTGACGTCAAGTTGATTAAAGAAAAGCCTCGTGACTGAGCGGGGACAGCGGTTTATGCGCTCTGTTATGCAACGGAATGCGAGAAACATTTTTTAAAGCCTTGTCAAGTTAAATCAACTGTTCGTCCAGCAGATTTTTCTCCTTGACAGCTCTGAGAAACCGGGGCCAAAAATCAAACATAAATATGTGACTCATTATGACTCACAGGCCACCAGGGAAAAAAAAAATCAAATAAAGTCATTAATGTATAAAATTTAATAGCATTAATTTTCCTGGTTCAGTTTATTTACTTTTATTTAAATCGTTTCCATTAAAGACACACACAAAAAAACTATTAGATGCATTCATTTTGCCACTAATGTATTCATGCATTACTGCATCATCTTGCCGCTGCAGTGATACTTTTTTGTGTTTAAATAGTTCGCCATGATGGATGGAAAATCTGTGATATACAATTGAAATATGTAGAAAAAAGGATTTTCAGCTTGTTAACAAATTATTCAGTAAGGTCATATGTCACACGCTGAGTATGCATGGCATGTGGGAATTCTTTCCTCCCTCTTTTTATTAATTCATCTTCAGGAACGCTTTTGCATTGCGCTTAATGCAGATATTCCCACTGCAGGCCTGATGAAAATACTATTAAATACAATAATTATCATTCATCTTTTAAAACCTTCCTTTTTCACTCTCTTTTTTGAAAGTATACATGTTTTTTTTTAATGTTTACTATCCATACCGACAAACCCTTCCTGACATCTAGTATATTATCTATTGCACAGAAGCATTTGGCAGAAATAGTCAAATTCAGCAGGCACCTATTAAAAAAAAAACTAAAGATACACTAAACATACCCAAATTCCGATCAGACCCGTTTACTTCCTGCGTTTCTGTGCAGTCCAATTCTGATCTCTAAAATATTTTTCAAAACAGGCATACAAAGTATTTCACATGTGACTAAAGTGCACCTATAATGCTTCTCCTTACATCTTTTACAGTAATATAATCGCCATGGTGGAGGCTGCTCATGCTAAATGTCACCAAAGGTCAGCGTATATGCAAGTAAACACTCCTGGCTCTTTATGATGTCAAACGGGACTTCCTTATATGGCCATATCAGACAAATAGCCTGGCTTGTACACAGAAACCCTATCCACCCACTTCATACCTTCTGTTTGTGAGAGGGAGCCAATAGGAAAAAAGCTGGCTTAAGGACAAGGTGACCTTAAAGGGAGAGGTGCTAAAGCAGCTTGTTTCAGGCAGTGGAGGTGAATGTACGAATGCAAGTACATAATGAAGCTGAACGTTAGCCACTCTTTATCCTGTCAGCTTCCTGGGACAAAGCTGAGATGCTGACTTCCATCATTACAGCTGTTAAGTCAGTGTCAGGTTTGCTGCCTTGTATGTACTCTATTTCACGTAGTGCAAATGCATCTGAAGTGAACTATCCTGAGCCCGATTCTCCTTTAATTGGTCCAAAAACAAAGAAAATTATGTGCTGTATTACAATTTCAGATCTCATTATAACAACAGTATGATATGCATTGTTGTTCAGAAAACAAGACCACTATAAGAAACGCAATACTTTTGTATTCTGCTATAAATGTCGTCTCTAGAGAGCTTCAAATATGTTAAAAAAAACCCAAAAAAAAAGTGTCTTACCTCTGATTATTTTTCCTCTCATCATCGCTTCCGAAATCCTGAAAGACAAGCACAAAGAGCGAATCTGAAACAGCATACAATATATTTATACTAAAAAAAATAAAAACTGTGATGATCATGAACAGTGGAACAGTGGGAAAGGAACAGAACTATTTCATAACAAGGATAAAGTTAAGAGTGCTTCACATTAATAGAAATGCAGGCACCAAACACACATGGACCACACGCTTGAGTATCCTGCTAAACATATCACACAACTACAACTGAGAGGATTTTACATTTTTTGTTCGAAATTTCTGAATTTTTGGCTGCAGTTGCTCTTAAATAAGTTGAACGTCTCAAGGACCATGCAGAGATGGACGAAAGAATGCCTGCGCCACCTGCTGGCCATCTCTCTGCAGCCTGGTGAACTAATCTGCTATGAAGTTGCAAAGAGCTGACAGCTCAATCCTTAGGACACCTTCAAATTTCAGGAATAAAAAACGAAAAACTAATTCAGACATCACACACACACACACACACACGCACACACACACACACCCTTCCTGCCGGCTGACTCTAGCAGAATAGTGATGGTGAGATGAAGCACCCACCTATCTTCAAAGCAAGGCTTGTCACTGCTTATTTTTGTGCCTCAGCCTACTTCTGAGCGCATAATCCACTTTCCTAAAAACCCAGAAAGTGGCGCACGAGCACAGATGTTAGGATTTCACGTGGATAAAAACGTCCAACAGTGCTCCATCTCTAACCGACGCCCCTGCTTTCACAGGTGGAGGTTTAATGCCTCCAACTCCACTAAGTCAGCATCACTTCTGCACGCAACCCGACTAGAACCAACAACCCTTCTTCCTGCTATGTAACTTGGAAACAAGGAGCACGGAGCTGATCGGTTTGTCTGCGTGGTGCTGCGCGGGATTTGACGTCTCGGTGAGGGCCAAGCGCATTTTCACGGTGCAGTTATGGATCTGAGCTATTCTAAAATTTCTAGAAGTTCGCAAAAACACTTGGCTCGCTCTCCCCACATTTAAGGACCTCCTTCCCAAATTGGTGACCGCACTACTCGCAAATAAAAACCTCGGCAACACCGAGACCTGCGAATGTTTGTGCAGCAGCAAAACGAGCACTTTGTGTCTTGACAGCTAAATCCGACAGCCCCCCTCCGTTTCCCCCTCCGTCCCCTCCCCCTCTGCAGGATTTTTGTTTACAAATCCCCTGCCACAGTAGCCACAAACAACTCCCTGTTGTAACAATATATCAAGTTTGCAGCACACAAGCGCACACATTTGGACACACGCACTATGACGGAAACCAGGTTAACCCTTTCCTGCAGGATATCAAACGCAAACGCCACCCAACCTATGTTTTACACACTCCCGTGGGCGCATTCTTGGCGTCTTCCCCCTCACACACACAAAGACCCAGCCCCCCGGCATTTCCACTCACCTCCCCCGCACTGCTGTTGGTCGTGCTAGCCGACGATGCTGCACTGGGGGTGGGAGAGCGCTGCAGTGTCACCAGAGCCATGGTCAGTGAGCTGCAGGAGAGGAGAGGAGAAGGGAAGGGAGGGGAGGGGAGGGGAGGAGGAGCGCCTATCCGGGAAGATGCGCCGCTGAGATTGTCGCTGTCACCGGGGAGAAAATGCCTAGTCAGACTCTCATCCAGCAGCAGCACCTGACTCCACTGCCCCGGCCGTGCTCCCTTTCGGTCCTGCTCCGTGCGTCCTCTGCGGTTACCGGAGTCCTCATGGGCAGAAAGTGAGAGAAGAGAGAGTTCCTGGGTTTTCGTTCCGCGCCAGCAGCAGCAGACTCTGTGATTTCTTCGCTGGTGTGCAGACAGACAAACAAAAACACAGCGCAGGTTGCAAGCGGGGCAGAAATGACATGCAGCTTTGCCGGATGCCTGTGATTGGCTGGCCTACTTCGCGTGTGCGCTGTCATTGGGCCAATGTTGTCAAGGTGACAGGCCAGACTAGGAACTCCCAAAAACAAATATTCACGATATTTAATGATAATTATAAAAATATGCTCACGTTATGAAACATAGTGTTTGTGAGAGGACGTTTTTAAGACAACAAAAACCGATTAATTTTATATATATTATATAATATTTATAGATGAAAATATTACAGAAAACCTTTCTGCATTCATTGGTAAGAAAATGTACCAAAATAATACATAAAAATAAATATTAATTTTATAAAATGTCAAGTAAATTAATGCTTAATTTTTCATAATTTTTGTCAAAAAATGCTCATGTTTACCATTTATCTTTTAAAAACTACAAATATGTATACATTTTTATTCCCCCCCATTTCTCACTGCAAATAATGAAGTGTATTTCCCTCATTTGCATACTGATGCAACAAAAGCATAAAAAAAAATCTATAAGAAAAAAAATGTAGATGCTAGGTTTTAGAAAGTGGGAAGTAAAGGATAAATTATGTCTAAATAAATACATTTAAATATGAATCAATTAAATATAAACTTGAAACAAATACTAGGTACAAATAAAATGTATGGCTTTTTATACATACAATGTCATATTACCCATTTATGGAGCTGTTTATGTAGATTTATTTTTAGCCGTTTTTGTCCTCCATATCACCCCAGACTACAACTAAAAATGGGCTCAAAAGAATTTTACTTTTTAGAATAATTGTTAACTAATTAGAGTTGCAACACGATTATTTTCACTGCCGATTTAATTATTATTTTTTAAAGACAATCCTATATCTAAGACTGCTGACATACACGTTTTTAAATTTGCTCAATGTGCCTCCTTTAAATAATTAATCTTTTATAAAGATCACACCTGTGAGCAACTAGAACTTGTGAGGAAGAAAGCATCCTTTTACATTCTACTTTACACACAAATAAATACAAAGAGCAAATATGAACCCACACTGAGTAAAGCCATAGACCTCCTGTATCGGCAGCATGGGGACAAGCCATTAATATTTCCAGAATGTCCCTCTGTTGCCTCTTATGGCCTGAGTGGAAGACTGAGTAAACAAACCAGTCCAACAAGTGTTCTTCCGCTCTCATTAGGCCAAGCCTCAATTGTCACTCCCCGTCTGTAACGAGAGTCCCCCCTGCTGTTCTTCACCCATCGTTGCGCAGATGAGTCTACCCATAAACTCACAACCAACGTAACTGCAGGAGACCGGAAGGTGGGAGAACAGGTTTTACACTTTCTTTTTTATTATATTCCTGCCTCATCCGTCACTGGTCCGCTGAGCCCGTTGTATTATCTGACTCTCTGGTGGTGGAGGTCGTCTGCCCTGCAGTCTCCTGGTCGAGACTGGACTCCTGCAGATTCCTTCCCAATGTCTCGATGGGCAGGAGCCAAGATGCAACGCCAGCCAGCAGAGAGCAGCTGCAATACACCGACAGAGTCAAATACACAGACGTCCTGAGCAACACCTAGAACCAAAACACAAAAAGTGAGAGGCCAAACAGAGAAAAAACACACCTCTTAAATAATAAAGAGCCTGACTGGACTAATTTAAATCTACCACAAGTCACAATATTGTCAAACTATCATATAGTTTATGACATTCTTTAAATAATCATTGACAACAATGTTGGTTTTTGAACTCTAGTAAAACCATGGAGAAAGTTCCAAAACTTGGGTGTGTCGAAATGACACAGATGCAGATTCACAAACATGTAAGCAATGCATTACGTAATCCCACCTCACACAGTTTCACTGATTATTTTTCTTGGATACTTGTTTTTAGCCCTCAGTGATATAGACACTGTCTTTTGGTGAGTAACAGTAAGAGCAGACATTTCAATTCACAGTTTAATTTAAGAGGCCTATTGTAATGCTTTTAATATCCAATATGAGGAATGGAAATTATCGCTGCCACGCTGGATGCCAAATAATATTATTCAGCCGAGTTGAAAACGGGTCACACTGATTCAAAATTTAGAATAACCGGACATACACTTGCTTGTACTGGGTTTGACCTCCTTTTGCTTTAACATTCTTCAGAGATTTTGGCACGTGCATGACGCAGTTGCTGCAGATTTGGCAGCATCTACATCCATAATGTGAATCTCACATCCAAAAAGGTGCTGAGGTCATTTGAGTACATTGCACTCAATGTCATGTTTAAGGAGCCAGTTTAAGATGATGAGCTTTGTAACATGGTGGTGACATTACCCAGCTGGAAGGAGCTATCAGAAGACGGCAGTGTGGTCATAAGGGGATGGAAATGGTCAGTTGTAACAAATGGTTTGTTCTGTTTGTTAAACAAGAACACCCATTTGCATCAACCTCGTCCATAGCTATTACACACTTAATCAAACAAACCACAACACAAGAAGATAAAACAAGTAGGTTCCTCTTATACAGACAGCACCAACAACTATGCCACGGTCAAGTCACTTAAATCATGTTTCTTCTCCATTGTGATGCTCGGTTTGAACTTTAACAGGCCATCTGGACCATGTCTACATGCCTACATGTCACATGATTAGCTGATTAGACATTTATGCCAATAAATAGCTGAATAGGTTTACTTAACAACATGGCCATTGTGTGTATGCATTGTACTATTGCTGTTACATGTAATAGAGAACCTAACATCTTAGACCTTTAAAAAAAAAAAAAAAAAATTCATTTAGGAGATAGATTTGGACAAAATTTACCGAAAACATTTTATTAGCTTGTTCAAAAACACAAAAACAGGAGACTGCTTCATACCTGTGCCACAAAGGGTGTAATCAGGGCACCCAACCTGGCCATGGCACTTGACGTTCCCATTGCTAAAGCTCTGTTTTCTGTAGGGAACACCTAAACAAAAGAAAGAAAAGTCAGTGAGTACAGTTTGTCCAATTTGACCTGTCTGAAAAAAGAAACAAACAAACAAAATCTGCTAAATTGAAAAGTGATACGTACTTCTGGTGTGTAAACAAAAACAACTTGGTATCCACCAGAGATGAAGGCTCTGGCAATGAAGATGAAGATGGTAAGGGCTATCCTGGATTAATTTAAAAAAAAAAAAAAAAAAAAAAAAAAAGAGTTACAAATCAGCCTGGGTGTTTTAATGTCAAGCATGTTTGGGTTAGCTGCTGTTGTACTATGATATTAAAAAACAAACGTACCTCCCAATGCAAGCGTATAATGGTAGAATACACAAGGAAAACATGAGGAAACACAGTGCCATGCTTTTCTTCCTGCCGATATAGTCCACTAGTAGAAGGACGACTAAAAAACCTGAAAGCAACATCAAAAAAAAAAAAAAAAAAGATCAACGACTGCACTCAACACTGAAAGATGGAGTCATTCTCTTAAAGAGCACTTTTTTTGTATCTCGTTCTCTTTATTCTGAGAATGTACATGTTTGTATGCTATACTCTGCCCACCTTCAAATCACTGAAAAACGTCAAAGCATTGTCTTTAGTAGGCTTTATCAGTATGTAGACTGCGTATTAAAGATTGTCTTTGAGGTCTGAAAAGTGATATTGAATTGTATTAAGCATGCATTCTGTATAATGGCCAGCAGGTGATGCCTCCTGTAGTTACAAACAGACTTACAGTTGCATGGAAATCTAGAGGGAAACAGGCCAAGGGACTCTTACTGTTGTAGAGACCCACCTTTTAGCACATCCCAGCACACCCACTCACTTCACCAGATGCACCTTGTTTAGTTCTCTCACCTTTGATTGGGTGTGGTGCGTGTCCTTGATTGCACTCACCTGTCACACATTATATGTCACACAGTACATAAGGACTGCATTCACTTTTGGCTCACTCTTTCCTCACTTCCACACGGGGCGGCAGCTGAGGTGAGGTTCTGTTTGGGTGTTTATTTTATGTAATGTTAAGGTAATGAGTAACTTGAATCTCTGTTTTCTTTCAGCATTGGCAGACCATGTGTGTCTTTGTTTCCTTCCTTTTTTGCCTTATTTATTTGAGAATAAAAGGAGTACCCTAAAAATAATTCTGCATTAGATGGCTGCTTTTCTTATTCTAACCGGATGAGCCCATGAAGCTGATTGCTTCAGCCCTGAACCTTCCTCCCTTCAAAACACTTACTGTATCCACAGTCAACACTTTCCTGATGACTTTGTGGGCTCAAACCCTAGCTTCACGTCTTTTAATCATACAGGATACTTTTTTTATGTGGGCGGTGCCTAACAGTGACGTTGCCGTTGAAGACTACAGGGTACGGTCGAGACAGCTTTTACCGCCATTTTTATGATATATCAGTCCAGGATCTCAGAGATTCACAGATTATACAGAGGGAGATGTTGCAGCCGTTTGAAAAGATTGTTCAGTGTTCCTCAGTTTCTCACTCCTCTCTTCACATTCAGTTTCAAAACACCAATACGGGGACAGAGAAAATGCCCATCTTGAAGCTTCACAATGGGACTTCCCTAAGAAATGAGTGATGTCATAGTAGGTTCATCTATCTTTAATACATACTCTTGTGGATTTAGAAAAAGTAGAATAAGGATGAACCACTCCCACGTGGTGTCTGGAAGCGAGAATAATCCCTGTCTCTGTCTAAGTCCTCACAATGAACATAACAGTGCAACAGTCTTTTTCAAAAAGACAAAATTATTATTTTGTGTGGCCGAACTAGACTTCACAACCTGCCTAAACTGATGTTATGCCCAGTAAATATAGTGAAGCGCGTATGCATGCCCATCCCCGTCACTCTTGAGGGTGTCGTGTTGGGACTCATTTCTAACTATAATTATTTATGAAGCCACACAATTCAGCTGCTCCTAAATTTCAGCTGTCTTTTTTTTTTTTTTTATTTGTACCTGAAGTCTAAAATTACTTCTGTAATAAATGCTTGTGCTTCCAGCTGATTAACTGTTAAGCTCTTGCAGCTCAGAGCCACTAATCAATACACTGCATGTTGATCTGGACATGAACAAAAGGAAAGGTGCACGCCCACAATTAAACACGGATTAAAAAACATACATTTCTTTATCAAAGTTTAAAAGAAAAGAGTATTACAGGGACATTTTGAAAACCAGTAATAGTTTTCAAATTCACTGTTTGTTTGCCACTTTTTCACAGTATAACTACTATTAAGTTGATGGGAAATTACCAAAAACAAATTGGACATTTTCTCTATGTCAGCTGTCAGACTTTCAACTTAACTGCACACCACGCCTCTGACAGACTGCAAGCAGCGAGTATTTTACCTGGGAACTCAGCCAAGGTCGTCCATAAAAGGTCTTTGTAGTCGGCTGACGTTAAATATCTACATTCAAGACTGCAGTCTGGCTCAATCTTGGCTCCTTGGGTCACTAGAAGGAAGCATTTGGGATTTGTTGTAATTCAACAATTGAAAACATTAAAAGCAGCTCTGCACAAAGGAAGCTGTAAACATACTCGCGCACAAATCTCCAGCTTGGAACAGCTCAGTTGTCAGCAGGATAATCCCGTAATAGGAGAAGGCATTGGAAAACCTATTGACAAAAGTAAAAAGATCATTTTTTTTAGAACATTAGTTCTGTGAGAAGTTGAAAATAAAGCATTTAATATGTCAATCAGGTACTACTGTTACTCCCCCTTGCATTAGGAATCACATCACAGTCCATCACAGGATTTTAAGTATCGTTCCTGGTTACCTGTATACAAGTCACTGTGGTAATGGTAAAGCTATAACTGCCACAACAACAACAAAAATCGAAAACTTGATAAAATAAGGCCACGATGCCGAGCTGGTAACCACTGATTTAAAAATGACTCCCTTTAAATAGAGAAGGCTTATCTTAGAGAGTGTGTCACTTAAGCTAACCATATAAACCACAGGAGCAGCGTGGTCTTCCAGTACTGAGGAGCAAAGAGATCTTTGAACCGTCCACGTTTATTCTGAGTAATTAAAGACAAAAATAGAAAGTAGACATTTTATTTTGAACATTTAAGCACTGCATATATTTAGATTCATATCCAGAAAAAATAAAATCTCATCCCCACCTGATTATAAGCGATCAGCCTGCCTTGAGGCAGGGTCTTCCCATTCTCTTTAGCAATGCGCGTTAAGGTTGCCATGGCTTTTTCTCGTCTTCCCGACAGCACATCAAAACGAGGACTCTCCGGCAACCACTTTGCAACACAGAAAACTGAGCTGAGTGACTTTCAACTTTTTTTCTATTTTGGCGGACCTCTACCCATCGCAGCCATACTTACAAAGCAGAAGCAAACAAAGATTGCCAATGGTACTGTGGATAAGCCGAGCAGCCACCTCCAACCCAGATCAGGCATTACCATCAAGGCCAGGAGGACCTCAAACACAGCACCAATTGCCCAGAATGCCTGATGCAGACAAACAGTTAGGATGATATAGTGCAGTGCAGCTAATATTATCAAAAGAGAGTTTATAAGACAATGACCGCAGTACCGCAATCAGCATAATGCAGATGCCTCTCGCCTTCATGGGAAGGAATTCTGAGTACAGCGTGACCCTAAAACAAGATTAAATCTTTATTTATGTTCATATTGTTTTCTTGGATATTGCTCATTAAGGAACTACTGATGTATCTTGTTATGCATGAAGGAAGAATCAAGCTTACGACTGAGGAGCTCCTCCAATACCAAAGCCCACAAGGCCGCGCAGGAACAAGAGCCAGCCATACGCTGGAGCAAAGGCACTCAGCAGGCCGTAGTACAAAGTCCAGCACATACAAACTTTCAGACCCTGTTTAGCACAGACACATATACAGGAAATACATGAGATCATTTACAAACCTCATGAAATCATGTATGAGAATCATAGATGTGAGACTCACTACTTTTCTGCCGTACTTGTCGGCGACATTTCCCCAAATCGGTGAACTGATCCCCATCCCGATAAAAACCACCTGTTCCAACAAAAATAAATTAATAAATAAATAAATAGGTCATTGACTATGTTATATAATCAAAAATCTTTAGTGAAGCAATAAAAGGTAAACGGACTTTACCGATGTTATGAGTGCCACTTTATAGCTGGGGAGCCTCCACTCACAGTGCAGCTGGGGCCCCAAGATGCTGAGGATCATCATCTCCATGGCATCTGCTACCTGAGGGACAGCATCCAGTTAGAGATGTGCAGTATCTGCACGTTGATGAAGCTGTTTGGACTTATTTTAAGATTTATTACCCATGACAGTCCAGTGAGGAAAGAGATTTTCCACTGAAACTTTCCAAATCCGATTGCCTCCAATGCATCATCCACTGTAAAGGTTTCTGTTAATAAAACACATCGGTCACTGCATGATCAGTCTCAGAAACAAAACCTGGCATTAGCATGTTATTCAGTATAACACACTCAAAGGTCATTTTACATCTTGGACAGTGTGCTAAATTCACAAGGTTTTTTCAGCACCGTTAACACTTCATTGCCTTGTGAAAATATATAATAAAGAAATCAAATTTGATGCATAACAGATTAAAACAAAGCAGTTCTTCTGTTTTTATGTTTTAGGCCAGTTATAAACAGGACATGGCCAATATAAGATGAGTCTACTTTCATGTGTAATTAACCCATATCCACATTTACATTTATCAAAACCCCACCAGCTGATCAACACTGCCACATAGGGTCTTTCTATGTTAATATTTTCTAATGCCCTTCTTACTTTACCGCCACCACAGTTCCACACACAACAATTAAAACAAAATAACAATTATATTGTACACACCTTCGGGTTTATTAGACCCAGAGGCGGATGAAGACTGCGTAGCCTCTGCGTCAAAATTTGAAGCTATGGTGCAAATCTCAGCGTCTGTGCCCTGGTCCTCATCAGTTTGACCCACAAAATCTGCATCACCCCTAAGTGCCATCACACAAGAAGAAGACATGAAAAAAAAGTTTGTCTTTCAGACATACCAAAGTTTGTCGTTAAATACATTTGCACTTAGCCCTGTGGCTCACACTCCGGTATGTAAACATAGCAGGTCCTTCCTTCAAACAGCCAAGACAACTTTGATGAGGTTACAAAAGCAAGAAAGCTCATATTTTTCGTGTTTTTCTCTTTACCACTGTTCAGAGTTTCTCCAGCGCTTGTAAGAGATCTTAGCTGTTTTGGGCCAGTTGTCCATTTTGTCGTCACGGAGAGCTGTGAGTTCCAGCTCATAGCGCACAGGTGATTTGCGGACAAACCTGCTGGAGCAGTCACTTCAAGTTTTCAAGGAGACACCCAATCAGAGAACAACACCCGCAGGGCGGAGAGGGGAGGGGTTAGAGCAGGAAGCAGAAGTGCCGTGTTGTCAAACTGGCTTCGGGTCAAAGAAGCGATCCCATTGGATTAAAATGAAGTACTATCACATAATTGATCAATATCTTTAAATAGATTGTCAAAGGAACCGGAAGAAATATTCCAAGACTTTAATGTCACCACGAAGTCTTATTTGTTGTTCTAAGCAGAATTTATTAAAAAAAAAAAAAAAAAAGGTATCGACCAGAACATATCTTGGAAATGAAAGTATCTTTTTGCATTTCAAGTTGATGCTATATCATCATTATGTGGTTGTTTTTGTTTTTTTTTAAGTTTCTATTTGTTTTGTTTTATTTGTTTTTTACTCTAGTGTAAACTGATCCCCTAGGAGCTTGACTCCAAGTTTCCTGATTGGTCTAAACTGAGCTGGTTAACCTGAGAGCAGGTTAGTTTGATGCTAATCTCACTCGGTGGTACAGACCGTTTGTGGACAGATAGCAAAAAGAGCACTTAGTTCTTTATGACATTATATATTAATGATAGGTTTTCTTTAAATAAATAACAAGAGATTATATGCAATACAATTTGTAATGTTGAAAGAAATGCTGATGTTATTGTATTGTGAGGTAAAATATACACATTTTGGGAAACACTTAAGACAAAGCAACGATTTCCTGCTTGGATTAGATCCAGCTAATCTCAGATTTATACCAGAGAAATTAAAAAGTGCATCCCAGACAAGAGCTCGGTTCTCAGGAGTTCGTTCAAACGGCACATTTTCTTATAAGTAATAATATAAAGAAAAACAAACCCACCGAGCCAGGCTTTTTCCTGTTACTGCAAATAATTACAGTGCACTACAATCAATCAAACACATAAACTTGAAAAATAAAGCTCATATAGCCTACTTATAGATTTTAATGTGGTCATCAAAATTTAAATTTGTGGTCTTTAAGTATCAATATTATTATTATTATTATGAAAGAATAGGAGCTAAAAGCCAGGCAAAGACTTTCTTTGATTCAGCAAGAGGAAGGTGACATCATATAGCCTACAACAGTAACTTTATTTATACCAGCTCTGCGCTTCAGTCATTAGCAGCTGAGTATCTGTCATAACCTGTGGCCGACAGTAGGCTGTGCTGTCACCCTCTACCCAAAAGCCAGTCATGCTATAGAAAGGATGCTGCTGTCTGTTCACTCACATTGTCATCATGTCAAATAATGCTGCTTATTTTCAGAAGCTCACTGAGAAGAAACCCATTTATGACTTCTTCTTCATCTTGTTGTGGGGCTTGCTAAGGGCTTTTGAAGCTTTGACTACTTCTCAGGCCCCCTGCTCCTCTGACTCTGGGCTCAGGGTTGCATTTTGAGTACAGGTTTAAGTAGACTATTCATCACCTTTGATTGAAATAACAGTGCTGAAATGTAAATGTTGCATACATAGAAAACATTACACTAGTTGTGAAACTTGAACAGCTGCTGGGTTAAAAAGTAAAAGAGTACCTTCTTGAATAGTTCGGACTGTTGGGAGTAGCTGACTCCTTCAGTTCTCAGTACCCTTGTAAGTTAATAAGGCCAACCTGAAAATAAAAGCTGTTGAAAAGTAGGACGCTGTGAGGACATGCTGAGGCTGCTGCATTATGGGACGGCCATAAATACAGTGTATAGGTAGAATATACAGTGTGCCACACTGTCCCCTCGTCAGCTGGGTGCTCGGGCTCACGCAGAGCAGTACAAAATCTCAGCTGAGATTCTCTGACTTGCACAGCGAACTGCAGCATGGAGCAAAAGGTAAGCTTTGAAATCTACGAAAAAGACAAAACATTTCAGATCTATGAGCGCTTTAGCAGAGTCAGTCGTGTTTAAATACCTTAAACAGTTTGCTGCTGCTCACTTATTGTGTCACTGAAGGCAACTCTTCTAAAACTGATAACCTCACAGCTGGTTTTGGCCTTCAGAGTCCTGCCCTGGTCACAGCAATCTGTTTACACGAATAAGGAATTATCTGAATGTTTAATAGTGTGTGAGCATTTATTTGAACAAACAGTGTTTTGAGGATACCTGAGGTCACTCATCCTTCAAATCTTTAGAAACCAGATCTGAGTCATTCTGAATTATCACCTTGGTTCAGTTGCTGAAGAGATGCAATGAATCTTATCAACAAGGCTTGCTTTATAACTCAGCTATGACACTGGCAATAACAGTAAGCAACTTTAAATAACAAGAACTGCTCCTGCTTGTACAACATATGATAGATAGTGTAAAATCTCTGTTTTCTTGTTGTAAGGTGTAAAATTGCACTTTAAATGTCAGGCATCCAATTGAAAACAAACACATATTCTCACTTCTTTATTGATTTAATGCTAAAAAAAAGTATTTGAAAGAAATATTTTCAACCATAATTGTGTGTGAGACAAAATTAATCACTTCAGGAATAAAATGGCAAAGGAGTTGTCATTTTTCCATAAGACATGGCCTCTGTGGCACAGTGTATAAGGAATCCTCTTCAAAGAAATCTCTCAGTTGTTGCATAATGGATTACATTATGTTAATGGCCATTTTACCAGAATGCTCTCTTATGTCACCGCGCGATTCTTCCGATCTTCAGGTAGTAATGCAAGATGCCTTTGTTGATGGTTGGAGGAAGCAATGTTAAATTTTAAAGAGAATGAATGAGAGGGCAACGTTACACGTGTCACAACCGAGCCAGCTGACCCAAAGGAAAAAGAAGACGCCGAAGCAGCAGATGTGATCTATTATGATAAAACTGCTCAGTGTATCGGAAAGTTTGGGGATGTTCACTGGTGCAAGTTCCAGCATCATCTCTCTCCAGTCAGCCTGGTGCTGCACAAATTAAATTAAATTAAATACACATACACCTCCTTCCTGCCGGCTTGTTTAGGGTGGAGCGGTGTCTTAGCCACATGCGGTGAATGTCAATTTAATCATAAACAAAAAGTGGTCAAACACATTAAAATATTTGTTTAAGATTTAACTACAGATATGTTTTGCAGCTCTCGGCTCCTTATTTTTTCAACAGCTAACAAAAAGTAATTGGAACTTTATTAAATCAGTGCCGTTGCTTTACATAATCACGTGAAATCAGTTTAGAATTTTTAAGTGTAACTTAAAAACTTTTTTCCAAACTGGTGTGATCATCCGCTCTCTATAGAGCACCAAGTAATTAGTTTGAAATGCATCTGCCTAATCAAAGATCAGTAATCGAATACCTGCACTGTAATTTTGTGGGGAGGAGGGTGAGAAGGGGTCTTTGGGTGGATAAAGTTACTGCATCCTTGTATTACATAGCTGCACACGCACACACAGTCATGCACACACAGTCATGCACACACAGTCATGCACACACGCATCTACATGCATGCACTATCTTCCTTAAACACACAGCATAGCTGTTCAACACTCAGGTGAAGCGCTGAATGAGTGTTTGCTGCCTGCTCCATGAAAGTTTAAGTAGACCAGTCCTTCCATAGCCAGGCAGCTCATTACGGCCTCATTACCAACAATGCAGGGACTCCAGCCCTGCAGGAAGCAGCAGTGCCACCCTCCTCCACCTCCACCTCCTCCTCCTCTTAAGCCAGTCTGTCCCTAGTTGTGTTAACAGGACAGCTCCAAGCCAGTATGTGGATTAGAGACCAATGAGCATCAAAGCAGAGAATCGATTACTGGTTACGTACCTGTGCTCACTTGAAGAAACTGCACTATGGAAGAAATCTTCAATTACTAAAACTGCTGTCCTGGGCTGTGTCTGCCCGACTTACATACATGTGGACTGAAGTTCAGCGACATTTGGATTTATCAAGTTCATCACAAAAGACTGACCCAACAATGACGCACAAGCCTTTGGAAGTAAAGGAGGTAACTAAACTTGGATGCAGTTGTGTCAAAGCCACAGTCATGCAGTGTTTGTATGACTGGAGCAGTAAAATTAGACAAAATGAGAAAAATTTGGTCTCTCTCTAAGGGTTAAAGATGTGTTATGATTATTATGATCACTCCAGCATAATAAAAGACGACTGTGTAATATCAAATATTTTATTGGCACAGAATATGGTGGTGTAATAGCTATCCCTGTTTTTTGTTCCCCCCCCCCCTCACACAGCCTGTATTAATCTTCTTTTCAGCTGATTGAGCAGTTCACAGTTTTTTTTCTAATATTTTTTTGTTTTTTGGCAAAAAAGCTCTAAACACGCCTCATAAGACTTCCTCAGCAAAGTGGCACATTTAGTGCCTTGAGAGGCCGATACTTCCCCCAGGAGTGTAGAAAAAGACTAAAATAGGTTTCAAGTAAGATGTGGTGGATGTGTGTGTGTGTGTGTGTGTTTGTGTTCATGCATTTGCATTTCTCATGGTGTCGAGACATAAATCATCTAAGGGTAAAGACATGTTTTAAAGTTAAAGTTACAGGATGAAAAGAAAACTTAATGCAGTTTTGAACAGAATCCAGAAATTATTACTAAATATGATGCTGTGCAACTGTAACCATATGCTGTATGTGTTGTATAATATCAGAGGCATCAAAGATACGCAGTACTTGCTTGCTCTTCTCTCTACCAATACGGGCAGTAAATACTGGACACTATATGCTAATCCGTATCAATATAACAGAGTATCTCCTCTGTTAGAGGACAAGGTGAACAGTTGGCTAAAAGGCTGTGAATTGTGTATTCACTTGTTCCGCCATAAACAAAAGGTTTGCTTACTGTCCCCATGAGTAATGCATTTTTAGTAAAATCTTTATTTGCCAGAAATGCAAGAACGTTTCCAAAGATAGCGCTGTGGCTTTGTGGCTTGTTACGGCTGCTTGTGTGAAACAGTACCAACAGAGGAGGTACAGTACTTGACCGGTGTGGTGGAGGCCTGTTCAAGGTCGGGTTTCTTTAGACACCTGGAGCCCCTTAAATGTGTGTTGCCCTGGGTGATGCACGGTGTCAGTCAA